GGGCGGGCGGGCCCGCGGCAGCGGGCGGGGCCAGCCGCAGCTCGCCGGCTGCTGGACACATCTGCAGGGACAAGGCAGGTCTGAGCCCAGCCAGGAAATCCCAAGCCAGGAAAAATGTTGAGCTTTGCATTCAAGCAGCCTGTAGGCTGGAGCAGGGAGAGATGAGCCTCAGTGCTTCCCCTTCTCCAGGAATAGGGACCTGGCTACCATTTTTGTCTGCCAGGCCAAGATGCTACAGAGATGTCAGGAATTAGGGCAGCCATGCCCCGGCACTGGGGCTTTGACAGCTGAAGTGCAAGCCTGGTATTAGCGGTGCAAGCACTAGATTTTGACTCAGGCTTCCAGGAGTGCACCTGAGGTTATGCAGGTAGAGTGTCTTGGTGGGGCTTTTTACAGGCATCTATACTACATTTATACTGGAAGTGGAAAGCGCTTCCATTAGGAGAAATACTTCACCCGGTTATCTCAGATGCAGGTACAGTGTATGCACTTGCGTTAGTCAAACTGGGCTCTGATCCGTAATTATTAAAAACACAAGCCTGTAAGAGTTATCCAGAGATTGCCCTGTCTGTTCCTCTTGACAAAGGCAGGACAGGTATAAACTAGACCTTTGCTCAGAGATAATGGTGTCCCCTGCTTTTAATAACCTTCAGCACCAGGAATTCCCCAAAAGGGGTTCTAGTGCATAACCATCCACAGCCAAAAGTTTTTTTCTATATCTAGCTCTTAACAAATTATTTTAAAAAATCAGTTTCTGTTTTTCCTTCTCACGCCTGGAAGTCACCGTGCCCTGCGCAGATCTCCCCTCCTCTCTCCCTCCCTCCCCTGCAGAGTCAGAGCCTTCCTGGCAGCAGAGCCTTCCTCTGGGGAGGAGCACGGGGAGGGGAATGGGGCTTCCCACCTCTGCCCTTCTCTTTCGTGATCTGCAGGGCCAAGGCAAAGCAGGAAAAGCCATGACAAAGTTGCCACTGACATTGTGCCTGTTCGTTTTTAATGGGATTCGCTGTGTTGCACTGTAGCTTAAGTTCTGAGCTTTGCCTCCTTCATTACTCTTCCTTGGGCTATAAATACTCCAATGACCGTCACCTCAGATGTACCTGGGGCAGATAACAGATGCTATATACTGCATCAGAAAAACATCACGTGGGTCCAAGCCTGCTATTATTATAATGTTGAGCGATTTTTTTCATTGTGTTTATTACACTCGTTTTAAAGGACTGACTGAGATTGAGTTAATCTCTCCAAAGGTTTGTGCACTGTGGTCTGGGTCAAAAACCGTGATGCCTCTATAGGGCCATACTACCTGCAGTCTCTGCACCAGTCCTCACTGTGGCAGCATGGAGACCATCCAGTGGATTCCTCTTGTTGGGATCCAGTGCACTAGCAGTGGTAGGTGACGTGTTCAGAGCAATGACTATCAAGATTTCTCCATATTTTGATGTTTTCCATGTTGATGTTGCTACTCAGGCTGCAGGACCAGGAGAGACCAGTTGAGATTTTCCAGTTTCAAATCATTGTCCTTTCTAGTTGTTGCAGCTGGGAGATTCTTGCTTTCTTACGTACCGCTGCTGGGCAGTGGGAGCTGGAAAATTCTTCAAAGAGATTAAAAGATGGCACTTTTTTTTCATTTAGAATTTCCTGACCTTTTTCAGTTTGTCATGCTGTCTTCATTCCACCGTGGTGTTTGCATAACCTCATTCAGTCTGTAAAAAGAAGGGAAACAAGAAAAGACCTTGTCACTGTTTATTGTTTTACAAATGAGAATTTCACCAATATTTCAGTGAGAGAGTGAATGGGCTGTAATACGCTTTGTTTAACCTCTAGGGGTGGACAGACTTTTTTCCTGAAAACAGCTTTTTCAATGATAAAATGCTATTTCAATAAAGCTCAGGGTTTTTGATGAATTAGCGAAATGAATTAAATAATGATGTTTGAAACAAAAGAAATCCAAAGGAATTTCTCTTTCTGGAAAATGTTTTGTCCTGAGAACTTCAATTTAGAATTCATTTGAATTGCCTTTCATGAGGTTTTTTATTCCTATTTCCTTATATTGTGACATGCTAGTAGTGACACCCGACATTTCATCAACAAATTTCTCTTGTTTCGTGGGACACAAATAGGAGACGCATCAACCTGGAAAATAAGGAGTGCTTCAGTCAGTACCTCTTAGCTGTTACCCACAGAGATTTAAAAGCAAAATAATGAAATTATTATCTCATTTCATTGGCCTGTGCCCTGTCATTAATAGTAGTACAGAATTCTAATTTAAAGATTTTAATTTTCCAAAACACAAACCAGTAAAGATGAAATGAACCATTGTTTTCCCTTAAATGAATGACCATATTATTGCATGTGGATTGTATTAATGAATTATTCGTATGTTATTTCAGGACCTGTAAGTACCTGTGATTACCTGCATGCCTTGAAACTGCATAAACATCTAAAAAGGAAAGAGAAGATGAAATGCAAAATATAATTAAAATTTTTAAGAGAAAATTTTCAAACCCCAATCCCTTTAGATATTCCATTCATGAGTATTTTAAAAAATACTGTTTTCAGTCAGTATTATTTTCATTTAATTTAAAATTTAACTCAATTTTGAAATTTCCTCTAAAAAAGTAGTACCAACTGTGACGAGCTTTATGCAACTGGTCCAAAGCACTTCAGATGTGAAGCTTGTGAATATAAGAAATGTATTTGTTTTGAAGTTGGCTTTTTTCTCATAACTATTCATCACCGTAGTAAGATTTTGGAGTCACTTCATGACTGGAGGGGGTCACTTCATGAACCAAAATAGCTGTAAGCAGAAAAATAAATACAATGTTGTCAGCTCAATATTGTTTATCTACAGCTGAATCCTCATTGACTTCTTGTATTTGGTATACTTTTACAATGTATACTCATAATATGTGTAAGAGTGCTCCCTCTTGATTAATGGCTTTTTTGCATTTGACCAAAGACATTGCTTCCATTACGAGTTTCATCAAAGCATTTTGGACAGTATCGAACTTTCTGTGCCTGACAGGCACAGAATGACCAAGTTTGTACAAAATATGTTGAATTTTATTTTTATATAAATTGGTTCCTTGTTCTTTATGATCAGAGCTAACCTCCATGCCTTCTTAGGTATCACCAGATCCAACTGCAGAGGACATTTGCAGATGGGATCATCACTGAGGCAGATCTTCAGAGCATGTACAAATAGTAGATGTGTTGCACCTCTCTTGTCTGCAGGTTCCTGTCCAGCAGGCTGCAGAGGGGAGTAGGCTCCATTGTGGTTTTGCGCTATGCATGGTGATACCAGATTAACAGAGATTTCATGCTGAATTTTGAGAAGAGAGGTATTTCTGACCTGAATTATAGGAGGAACTACAAATACCCAAAGAGAATACCCTTGAATACTGTTTTTATTTTTTATAGTCTAAACATGACCTTTAACATAAAGACATAAATGTTTAGATCCATTTTAATATCCATTTTTAGTGTGCCTAATACATGATGTTCTGTAAAATCTTGCGAAATACCTCAAGCGCACATTTATCTTTAAATAATTTGTTAGTAAAACAGTGCTATGTATTGCAACAGTTGTGATCAGCTGACAAACCACTTTGATATAGTGTTGCAGCATGACTGTTTCAAAGCCATGAGATCTCCTGCATCTCAGTGACATAAACATTCCTTGTGTCAGATCGCACAGTCACTTTGTCATGGTTGCAAAGGGAAAGTTCAGTCCAAAAATGGACATTTTTTACTTTCTGCTGGGTTGTGTGAAATTCGGACTCTGGCAGCCAGAAGTGACTCTGAATCCCCAGATGCACATCAATAAGCTGCAAGGTCAGGAGCATTGACAGCAGAGGACTGTGGGGACCGCCACACTGCATGAAATGCTCATCTCTGCCTGGCCCTCTATGCTTCCCAAGAAATAACCCTGTGCATGGGACAGGGCTGGCCCAGGTTTTCCTTTTCCTTTTGGCTCCAGTTTAACCAGGAGGTAGCGTGGTCCCTGGCAGGGTGAGCACTGCATGCCTGCTTGTCGCACGGTTTTGTCACGGGGAGGGCAGGATGCAGCGGTGCGGTGAGCGGGTCCTACACACTCCTCAAACCATCGTTTGACTGCTGAGCATCACCTGAGGCTGCTCACAAAGACAGCGCTAGGGGCTGATGGTGCTTACACCTGGTTCCCAAGCACGCCTCCTGCAGCCATCTTTGTTGCGTTAGGGGAATTCCCTGACTTCTAGGGAGAACTAAACAAGGAGGATGGAAATATAGACTTCTTGGCTCCTTGCTCTTATTTTCCCAGGCTTAAGTTTGTATTTACTCCTCCAGCAACAATTTACAGGCCAGTGTAACTGAGGTCAGTATTTGGCTCTCTGTGTCTCTTTCATCAACTGCAAACTGGAGATAGCAGTGTTTAGTAGGGTTGGGTGAATAATTCATGGCATGGCTCCTTATTAAAGAGATATTGCCTCTCTGTTTGCACATAGTCTGCAAATGGATTGCATTTTTTTCAAATTTATTTGTTGTTGCAAATTATTCACCAAATACTTTCTGTAAATAATTTTATTGGCCTATATTGCATTCAGAATATGAATTTGAATACTGCCTTATATGAGTATTTGTCATCGCTGGTTAAAATTTGTTATTTCAGCAACTATGCCTCCCAGCAAACTTGTCTCATAGAGCCTTCCCAGAAAGTAATACAAGGATGGCAGGGATCCATGAGACTAAGCCTGTGCTAATAAAGAGAATGGGTGAGGGCCCAGAGAGCAAGTAGCATGGCATGGTTTAGCTCTCATCCATATGGCTGGACTCCTCTCCTTCCCTGAAGATGTCCGCACTGACTTAGGAACATCATTTGTGAGCTGTGCTATTCCCCAAACCATTCCTGGGAGGCTGTCCTTGGAGGCTGAACCTGTGCCACAGACTGTACAGGCAGTATGGATGTGTGGATGTCCCTGTCTTTGGGTTCTGGGTAGTTTCCAGCATCTCAAGAACACGTTTAAAAGCTTACGGGTTGCTCAACAGCATTGCTCAAGGTGGTTGTTTGTTTACTTGAAGATCCATTTAGGATGTGCTCAGGTCCTCCGTGCCTCTTCCCTGGGAGCTAGGGCAAAGGAGGTGCTGGTGGTGTCCCTGGAAAGGGGCTGGGAGGGGATTGCAGCTCCTTGTTTTACCCTCTGGGAAATGTGACAGGCTGGGAGGAAAACCGGGAATCTGACTGGTGTCTTGTCTTTATGGAGTAGGAGCCTGTTAGGGCAGACTGTAATTCTTGTGCCTGCTCCCATTAACTCAAGTTAGATCATTGCAGGTAATGAGGACAATTCATGCAGGTAGAGCCCTAAGTATGTTTTCCCTCCTTAACGTGTAAGTGCATCCCTGTCCTGTTACAGCTACATAAACTTCTTGGGGATGTTATAATACTGCATAGTCTTTAGAATTTCTTTCAAGTTGAAGTGATAAGCAAGACCCTTGGGGTGTGTAGAAAATACAAACCTCGAGCATACAACAGGTAGTCCCTTTTCCTGAAGGTGTATTTTTTTTTTTTTTATCCCCCGCTGTGTTGTTTCAACAATAAAAGAAAAAAACGAAGTTCTTGGTGAGGAGCCCATCGTACGCAGTCCTTGTGCAGCCTTGCCCAGGAGATGGTATGCTGCGAATTCTGTTAGGTGAGAATGGCCGAAGCTTCAGGCATAGGGACCGAATGGTGAGAGAAGTTAGGGTCTCTTAAACCTCATTTATATATTTATCCTTTCATGACTGCACCTAGCACTGTCCAGGATTTCTTTTAGCATTGAAGAGAAATAAATAGATAAAAGGGCCAAGAAAACCAAGAGTCATTCATGTTAACCAAGAGGTGTGGACACCAACTGGCCACACTTGCTCACTCAAATTAAGAAACATAAACCAAAAAGTTTCCTAGCAGCGGGAAAATGCAGGGTCAGTTTGAAAAAGACCAGAATATCAGTTCTTCTCTTGTTTTAACTACTTGGGTGTTGATGCTGATTGATACTGTGCAGAGTTTGTAAGCTGTTAAGTTTTGTACTTAGCTTCAAATCAAATACGTTGGTGGAAGTGAGAAGTGTAGATCTGATGTAGGCTTGCTTCAGATCTAAAAATGACCTTTAGGGTAGCTTGTTTTCGCTTGATATTTTGTCAGAGCTAGTGGAAAAAAAGTGGGGGAAGAAAGGGTTTCTTTAGCCTTTACTTAAAATTTTCATAGGTAAGGGCATGCAAAAAACTAAGTATAGTAAAACTGTTGCCTTGAAAAAAATGAAATTGTTGTTAAAGTGTCTGAATAATTTCTCTGTTACAGTTGTTTGTTAGGTGGGTTTGGATTCAGAAGCACAGTTGATGGTGATTTGGAGAAGTTGTGTTAAATATCTTGCTCATGTTGCAGAGCAGACGTGCTCCTCCATCTGCCCCTTTCTCAGACAGTAAATGCAGTTGCTAACGAGTTACTAGAGACGTGGGTCTCAGGGTTTCCTTCTTCTCCAGCCTTTATTTGGAGTAGTGGAATTAGACATTGTATTGAAACGCCAACCTGTACCATGGGAAGAGAAGGAGATGGATAGGTGCTGTGAGACCAGTATAGCCATATAAAAATGCCCTCCCACTGTAGCTGATGAGGGATGGGATTGATCATGGCAGCACTGAAAGCGTGATGGCAAGAGGTCCCACCACTGTAACCTGCATCTGGAGAGGGACAGGTGGGAACTGAGGGGGTCCTTTGTGCTCTTCTCATCAGGCTAAACTTGCTTCTTACTTAAATCATTGCCCTTCCCATCCATAGCTGTTGTGAAGGAATTGAGGTGGCAGAGGCTGGTGGTGATTGGGAGACCTCTCGGTGGCCCGTGAAGGGGGTCTCTTGGCCTGTCCCAAAGCAGCAAAGGGCTGAAGAGGAGGCATGTTTTGGGTTTGGTTTCGTTTTCCTCACACCAGCGTGTTGCTGTTGGATGTGAAGCCTTGGGCGAGTGGTAGAGGGGGAGGCTGAACGTGTCCATGAGGTGTCCTGAACTGATCAACAGCTCCTTGCCGCTAAGAGAGGGGATGTACCCCCTCACCCTGTCTCTCCTGGTATCCCACCACTGCCTTGGGGGCAGAGGTGGAGAGGGAAAAGGTGCACCCAAGTCAAATCTGAGTAGTGGGCTATGTTTGACAGTTCAGAACGAGGGCAGCACACTTCTTCTTCAAAGCCATACCTGCCAGGTGGCTAAAGGAGAGATTTTATGTCCTATAGCTTCTTACACAGTGTCATTTTGCTTTAAGCAGATAGGCTGGGGCCTCCTCTCGATATACTGCTGGATTCACTGAACTGCACAGCGTTCAGCGTGCAATGGAGGATGCCAAAGCAGCATGTGAGCACCATCACAGGATATACAGTAAGTGATCGTCTATGCTGCTAGTACAGGATTGCAATACCCTACATGGCCTCAGACTACGCATGCGACATGGCGAAGCAAGCAGGAGAGCCTGCTTTCATACCAAATCATGCCATTGCCCAAAACATGGTAAAGGGACAGTGGGCTTCAATGGATTGAGCTGTAACTTTAAGAAACACGTGGATCGTATTTCAGAAGCAGGCTATGATGGGAATTTGCGTTGGATGCCAAGGGCTTGTAGTAGATATATATTACGTTTCTGTTGTGGTTTTCATGCAAGGATCTCAGTGCTATCTGCAGCTGATAAAACAGTAAAGTAGAGCAGAGCAGGTCTATATTACACTGTGCAAGTAAAGGGAGATCATGGTGATTTCAGGGCTGTTCAGATCCTTTGACTCATAATTCCAGCCTGATGATTGCTTTAGCAGGAATAGCTTTTCCAAACTACACCCCTAAACCTTCCCAGAGTGGCAGCAGGTGCAAGGAAAGGAGAGTTTCATGGTGTCTCTTCCCCTAATAGATACTGTACTGCATAGCACCCGTGGGAGCCCAGCCACAGCTTTAAATATCAAAAGAGACTTTTTTTTTATTCCCTCCTACCTCCATGGTGAATTTTCCTTAAAGAAGTTGGGTGATTTTGTTTACCTACCAGTTTTGTAGGGGAGGCTCTGACCCCCTCCAAGCCTCTGCCACGTTACTTTCTGCCTGTTGGGCAAAGCAGAGTGGCTAGCCTAAACTGGGTTTCAGTGTGCAAGCAGAAAAACAATGAGCACTAATCTGCCATTTATTCATATTTGTTAGGTATCACTTCAACAGGTATTCCATGGCAATGGAACTCAGACCCAAAATGGAAGTTAGTCAGTGGGGAATTAGCACCAAAGATGTTGGATATCAACTAGAATTGGCTGGTTTCCCCTTTAACAAAAAACAGATAGCAGTTGGTTTTGTTAGCATTTTCTTTGGAAGGATTTGAAATTTCAGGAAAAAAATAATCCAAAATTCATTTTTATGTAAAAAGGTGGGAAGCGGAAAACTTCTGACTACCTTTATTATTAATGTATGCTAAAAGAGTGAGAAAATTCCCTGAAGCAGGTATTTCTGGTACGTGTGCCCCTTGATCCCATGGTCTTGTAAATGACACTAATGCAGCCCAGCTGGAGGGCTGTTTTTATTGTTATGAAAGTGCTTGTCATCTAAGACACCAGGAAGCGCTTGCTGTGGCCAGAACCCGCCTGAGCCAGGCTCTGTGTGTAGTTGGGTCCATTCTTCTGTGTGAAAACAGAGGTGTAGTGAATAAGTGGCTTTTCTATAGGTCATGATATTTTTCAAACAGTTGCAATACTTTATAGTCACAAATCATAAATAGTTTTCACTGTTCATGCAGTACATCAAGCATCCAAGCCCCAGTTTGTTTTTAAGCCTTGAGCTCACGTGTGGCATGGTGGTAGAACCAATGACACACAGCATTGATAGTGCTGTACCCAAATTATCTTCACTTCATGTTAGGTTTTGACCCTCTGGCATCTCAGGGTCTCTGTGCACAGGAAATCACACTCTCTGGCTCACTGATCTCCAGTACACAGCAACAGGCATGGAGAGACATTTACGATACAGCAATTTTTATAATGTCATAATCACGTAATGTCAATGTCTTCCTTATATGAAGTAAAATGCCTAATTTGTGCAGACTAGTCCCACAAATTTCAGCTGTCCAAGCTGACCATGGCCAAATGATGCACAATTAAAGTTGTCAGTTCAGGTCTGCCCTGAAAGCTAGGCTGTGTTTCACCTCAGTTCAGTGTATATACTGTAAGATGGTGTCCTTTGGTCATACTGACAACTTCTAGCAAATATGAAGGGAATGTTAAATGGTGTTAGCTTTTCATGCTTTTGAAAAGGTAGGGGATCATAGGCTCAAATGCTGTCCACAATGTAATAACAATGCATTTTTTTTTACGTCATTCTGAAGCATTGCGTTATTGCTTTAACTGACTTAACTGTATTTTCTTCCCAAGGTCTTTTACTCAGAGGTTGAAGATGACAAAGCAGTGAAACAGCTCTCACACGATGTTCCCCTGAGTTTGGATATGCTTAGCATGGTGCGTATTTCTTTTCATCAACAGTCAGAGCACTGGAGCGGAACTTGCAAGTGGAAACTTGCAAATGTCTACTTGCTGCTGGTTTGTGAATTATGCTGAAGATCCAAGCCCCAGATCTGCTCTGGGTATTGAGCAAAAGGAAATCACAATGTTTTTCTGTAATCCAATCAGTGTGATGCACTTTTGCTCCTTGTTATCTGAATAGTTTATCATGTAAAACTATTGGGACTTGCTTGCGTCTTCCTAGTATTGACCTTTGGCATCTACTAAAATAGAACTTTTAATTTTTAATATGCATTTTCTGTGCACTTCCACACATGGAAAGGGAATTGCATGACTCTGTGCACAGTCAGAGTTGCAATATCAGTGTATGTGTCTGACACAGGTAAGTGTGTGAGCTAAAGGAGATGCAGTTTTCAGTGTATTTTAGTCTCTATGTGAGACTGTGGCCTCCTGAAATATGGAATTTAAAGTTTAATAGTGCTGCTTTAGTTGCAGTTGTGCAAGTCCATCTCCTAGAATATTCCCCCAACTTCTGATTTTTTTTGTTCTTGAAAGCACTGCTTTTCCTCCTTGCTTGCCATTTTCCCCCTTTCCTTTAGTTCTGTTTTTCCTTTAGTTCTGTTTTTCCTTTAGTTCTGTTTTTCCTTTAGTTCTGTTTTTCCTTTCTTTCTGTTTTTCCTTTTGTTCTGTTTTTCCTTTTGTCTCTCCTTTGCTTTCTTACTTTGCTTTATTTCACTCTGCCCTTCTGTTTCCTCCTTCCCTTCTTCTGTCCAATTTCCCCGTCCTTTTCCATTTGCAAATGAACACCGCCCATCCTTTTCTGCTGCACGGCTGAGCAATTACAGATGAGCAAGTCCTCCATACTTCTGGATAGTTTTAATACTGTCTGTTTTTAAATTATATTCTCGAAACATGTCGGTGCTTTCTCAGAGCAGAGAACCTGCTTTTTGAATTCAGCAAGGCAGAAACAGAGAATTTCCAGCCTCTGCTTGGGCAGAGTGAGAGCGTTGCAGGTTGAGTGCTGTGAGGGGAGCACGTTCATACCATGCTCTGCAAAGGGCAGTCTGTCCATGAGCAGCAGCGTTACCAGCACAGGACTCAAAGGCTTACGTGTGCACACAGAGGAGCATTGCAGGCTTTCCAATCTTTATTTGGTGATCCTTCTTCACAATTCAATTTTTTCCTCCTTTTTCTTCTACTCATCTTTATTCTCCTTTATTTCCTCACCCCTCTTCCTTCAGCCTCCCCACCTGATGTTCAATGGTATGTATTCACTGGTATTTCCTGATCCCTGCTGGGCAGTGCTGAGAATCCTTCCCCATGAGAAGCGTGAGTGAGAGGGATGCTCAGATTTCCTGCAGTTTTCCATCAGTCTGGTTGTCTGTTCTGACTCCTGCAGGTTTCTGGGATCACGGCAAATGAAAGAATCCTGTTGCTGTGATATATTATTTCTTTACTTATCCATTATTTTCTCCCTTCTGATCTTTATCTCTGTATTCCTCACTTGCTTTTTGTCCCAAAAAAATATTCTTCCTAGTAGTGCCAACAAAGATCAAACAGCACATTGTTTTTTTTGTCTTAATCCTGACAGCAGTAATTCTTACTCACTGGGAGAGCAGATTCTGTATCCCAGTACTCACGCAGATGAATAACAGCCACGTAGACTACTATATGCTGCAGCATTGGCCTTGTTTTAATTCCCTGGCCTGTTATTTATGTGGTTTTGCCATCACTTTTTAGTATGTTACTTCATTAACAAGTCCTGTTTCGCTTTTTCCCAGGGTCAGCCTGAAGGACAAGCAATTTTTGTAAGTATTGCTTCACATGAAACTCGGTTGCAGCTCTGGTTTAAAATGAAATTGAACGTTCCTGACCTGGTCTTTCCACAGGTTCACACACAAAAGTTGACCTCAAATGTTGATTCTACTTAGCACTTATACAGGGTCTTTTGTAGTCAAAATGTGGCAAATAGTAGCTAAAACTCAGAGTCCAGAGGTGAAGAAGATGGACACGTAGGTATAGGGGCTCCCTTTTTAGCAATGGATAAACTTTCCTGTAGGTCATCAAAAGTATTTATTGATGTCTTGTTTTGCTGGAGGAAATTTGTGTAAAAAGTGAGCTATATCCAGGCAGGGAGGACTTAGAGGGGGCAGGGACAGCTGGGGAGCCAGACACAGAGTGATGAGGAAGAACACAGCAGTCCAGGAGTGGGAGAGGAGACAGAGAGGAAAAAAGCAGAGCCAGTCCAGTGAGAGCCGAGGAAGAGGAGCGTGGGAAGAGGCCAGCCATGGAAAGCCCAGGAGGAAGGAGTGGGAGACTAACAACTAGTATAAAAAAGGTTTGAAAGCAATACCAGCCCTCTTAATGGCTTTGCAGCTGGTGAATTATTCAGATTAATTATTTCCAGTCGTGCAGTTGGTCCAGTCTGCTTCATATGAGCAGTAAACAGATTGGGCTTATTGTGAGGCGGGAATCAAGCAGGAGGTGCTTAGGTTTGGGTAGGGTGAGGGCAGCAATTTCGGTGTTTAACTGAAATCCCTAACATCAACAACCTCTTGCAACTTCTTTTCCTCTGACATGTGTTCTAGGAATGGAGAAATCCCACAAAGTTGATGGATCTCATGCAGCTTTCATGATCTGAATTAAGGGAAGTTTTGTTGGGCTGTAGGAAGCTGATGTCTGGATGAGACCTCTGGATGCACTTGAACCAGGACTATCTGGTTCAATCTCAGTTGAACTGAGTCTGGATTATGGCATTTCAGAGTTGAGGTTCCACGCTGGGCCCTTGTTTCTGCTTGATAAAAATAACACTTCTGAGGGGTACTTGTGGAGAATTATGACTGACTGGGATTAATCAGCTCCCAGCTGTCATTAATCCTCAGGAAGTGGTGTTCTCGCTGAAGTGCTTTCTGTTATATTCATACCAAACTCAACAGAAATCTGCAACAGTTTTGTGGTTAAGTCTGCATAGTTCGTGTTTCTGTCACTAAGCCTCCTCCCCTGGTGCTGGGTACGACCCCGCTCTTTCTCAGAGGCTTCTCTGGACCATGTGAAACTGTCACAGCAAGAGCTGAACTGGGTCGCCTGTTTCTGTGTGTGTGTGTGTGTGTGTGCATGTGCCTGTGCGTTAGCAAAGTGGATAATGTATTATAGCTGTATTATGTCATCTTGTAATAGAGAACACATAAGTGAGAGCAGCCAGGAGAAGTGCAGATGTAGTACAATTTAGTAAGGGAGTTGTTCTACTGGGCATAATATTAATGAAGTTAAGCACAAATATTAAAAAAAAAAAGAAAAAAGCAAGAAAAATTAGCAGGCTTTAAAGGTGGGAGGTTTTAGGTCAGGCACAGAGCCCTGGAGAGCAGTAGTGCTCCTTATCAACTCATGAAACACACCCGTTCAAAATGGGGAGTGACCAGCTGAGACCCGTAGTGCAGGAAAGAAGTTGTAGGGGGTTAAACGTCACTAAACCCAGCTCAGTTTCTGCAGCTGTGCTGTAATCCAGGGTTTGATGTTTTTTTGGATTAAAATGAAACAAAACAGAAACCAAGTTTTCTTTGGAGAATAATTTGTAATCCAGGTTTCTGTGAGGCAGCTTACTGCACGGCCTCACAAACAGTTTCAACACACCTGGAGGGAGGGAAAGCTGTGTGGCAAGGCAGGGAGGGTTATACGATCTCTACATACACCTGACTCCTCTACTACATAAAAGGCATTGCGTTGCTTCACCACATTCAAGAATGTGAGATTGTAATGAAAATACTAAATGTAATTTTGCACAGTTTTAGCAAGAGTGTTGTGTAAGACAAGAAAGTGCAGTTGGTGCCTAGTTAAGCCTCATTGGCAATGACCCCAATCATCCAGTTTGGGGTATCATGCTTCAAAATATAGAGGCAATCTGAGTGGGGAGAAAGACTACAAAACTGATGGGGAGCTAACTCTTCCACATACCACTTAAAATCCTTATCTGCGACGCCACTGTGTCTCTTCAGGGATGGAAAAAACTTGGGTTTAAGATCCTTCTCCTAAATGCAAGCAAAAAAAGAGATGAAATATGTACTCCCAGGCTCCTGGACAGTGGGGTACAAGGAAATGTGTTTCTTCTCCAGAATCTCATTTGAAAGTGTTCTCAAGTGAGGTGGGTATTCCCTGAGATTGCCATAGGTCAGAGTAGCTTGATGATGTCCTGAATCTTTACCTATTCACTAATGTCTTGATCCTAGAAGATTAGAAGATACTTGATCTCAAAGATACCTACTGTGTGTCCAACAGCTGTGTTCATGGAGAGGACATTGCCAGAAGAAAGAGGCAGGTAGCCATGTGTGTAAGGCAAGAGAGCACCTTGCTGAGATTTTGAGGGTACACATGTTGAACTTCAACATCCTAATATCTACTTAGGTATTTATCTTGATTGGCTTTGCAGTCAATGAGATTCATTCTGTTTGGTTTATTGTAGACTTCAGTCTGGAGGTAATAATATGAGGCAAGTACATCGGTATCGCACTTTCTGCAGAGGCCAAGTTCCTGAATAGTGTGAAAGCAATAAGACACATAATGAAGGATTTTTTTTCATAAGAATGAATGTAATAAAGAGGGATGCCGGCAGGAACAAATGGACACAGTTTAAATACAGATGGGCAGTATGTATGGCGTGGAGGATGGAATGACAGGAGCAAGATCATCAGTATTGTCATCAGGAGGAGGTGCTGGATTTTCAGCAACTGGCTTTTCAGATCATGTTTTGAAAGATCTCGGTCACTTCAGCTATGAGACTGAAAGACCCAGATAAATCTTTCGCTGTGAAGTGTTCTTGCTACCTCTTTCTGAGCAGTTACTTTTCCAGCATCGTTATGATCTCTCTCAGATGAATCCAAATCATTCAAGCAGATCAGGGGTGAATGATGGAAAAACAGGATAATGGTCAGGTGGTCCATGTTAATAGGAAATCAGTGATGGAGCTCCCAAACTGTGGCTAGAGAGATGACAGATGGCAGGGTGTTGCCGAACAATGTTGTAGTAATAACATAAGTTCCCCAAAGAATAGAGAGGGAGAGTTTGTCCAAAAGACTGTCATAAGGAAATTTAGCAGTTTATAAAATTCTGGGATTGTTTATTATTTTACTGCAACTGGAAATGCAGGTTTAAAGTCTGTTTCTGTGTGAAGAGAAGGGAGATCTCTGCATTTTCATATGCACTGTGAATAATGTTTTTAATATCAGAGAATGAGAAAAAGAAGAAAAATCTCTGTAAAAGAGTTTTTTATAAGTGCTTTTTTTCACAACAAAACAGTGTGTGGTGTAGAACCTGGTACTTCTGTTTACTTGTACATGCTGTCAAAATTTGTAAGTCTGGCATGTACATCTCTCTATAGATAGGCTGCAGGTAAAGAATACTGAATTTCTATAGACATGTACACATGCTTCATTAAAGATTGGATCTAAATGTCTGAAGCTGATCTATGCTATGTGCAACAGCCAGTGATAAAATGTAATTTTTTGGTGACTTGCTAATTTCTGGGAGATTTGAGCAGGCTCCTCTGAACAGTATTCAGCAGCACAAGCTCTTCACATGGAGGTTAGCATTGCCTGCCTTACAGTAGTTGTCTGTGGGTTAGTCTTTCTGTGTTTATGTTTATTTTGAAAGACAAATAAGGGAAATGCTCACTTCAGGTCAAGGCTGATAGCTAGGCTAGGAAAATTGTGAGAGGCAATGGGACTCTGCTCTGTGAGAAATTAAAGTTCATCAGTTCACACTGCAGCAACTTGCTTCATTCTCAGGAGCTTCTATGGTCTCTGGATTTAAAAGAAAACCAAAAACAAACAAAAAAAAAAGAAAATGCCAGGAACTGGCTCAAGGGAGGGAATAGTACGTGACTTTGACTTCACCGGCAAAAAAGCTGGACAGCGAATGCAACCGATCTGCAGCCTTGTGAGTTATGCTGAGAAATGGGTCCAGGTCATCCCTGTGGATTCCCCCAGGGCAAAGCTGCAGCTTGAGAGGAAACACATGGTGCTGTTTATGTTTGTTGCTTCTGAGCTGGGCTGGGGACAATCATCCTAGGAGGTTACATGGAAAATGCCGTCTAAGATCCCCAAATCCCAGCTCACAGTGCCGTTCCCAGTTACATGGAAGAGCTTTCACAATGTTCTTGTCTTCTCTTGACTCTGGTAGGAGGTTGTTATCGGTGATCTAAAGCCAGGCACTCCACACCGTGTTAGCGTTGGAGCATATGGCTGGGCAGGGAAAGGACGACCCAGCATGCCCAGAGATGTGACAACCTTATCCCAAGGTAACGCTGCGTACATCGCTTTCTGTTGCAAAACTGGCAGGGCACACGTCTGTAACATGGCCAGTCACTGACACCTAAATCTCTGTCATGTGCAGTATCGTAATATTTTACTATTACTTTTCCACAAGTATCCGGTTTTAAGAGGGGCAACAGGTAAAGGGAGAAACCTCTAAATTTGATTTCCAAGTCTGTGGATGTTGGGTTTAAGTGCGTGTTATCCCGTCCGCTTCTCTGACGCTGTTCCTTTGCATTTCTTCTGGCTTAGATAAGTGCGTGCCCCCTGCGGCGCCCTATCAGCCCCAGATTGTAGTAGTCTCTGATTCAGAAGTTGCGTTATCCTGGAAGCCTGGAGTGAGCGAAGGAAGTTCTCCCATCCAGTACTACACGGTGGAGTTTATCAGGCAAGTTTGCCAGTGGAGTCTGAATGTCAGTGTTTGTGTACTGCAGGTTTTTCTTTTACCTAAACTGCACTATTAAACTGCATATAGATTCTTCTCATGATTTATTTACTTACTGCATATAGTACAATGTGTTTTCTTCTCGATGTGTGTTGAATTACCATGAAAATTTAAAGACAAAACCAGAAATAATCTGATTTGTTATAAAGTACAATAAGTTGTACCTTCTGATTGAAGAAAATATGGTCTCATTTGATCTGTTCCCTCTAATAAAGACCTGGATGAAGTTTTAAGTTTCTCCTGTCATCAAAAACTGTCAAACCATGCTGAGAAAAGAGTGTGTGACAGAGCAGTTCCCCTGAGCAGGAGTACCCTGGGCTGCTATAGGAAATAATCCAGGGATTGCAAACTCAGTATGTTGGGCAGTTTTACCTGACAAAAGTCTTTTGGGTCTTGAGGACTCAGACTTGCTTTGCCATCCTAATGCTAATCAAGTTTACAAGAAATGTTGGCCTTTCTGTTTAGATTTTTTTGGGGGAGGTAGGGTGTTGGTGGCGTTTTTTTCTTCTTTTATGTTGAACTCTAGAATTTACACTAATAGAACTGAACTGTGAAAAGCTGCTGATCAAGTTGCTTTTGTAAGACACATGTGAAGGGTCAGGTGGCTGTATCTGCAAGCACAAACAAGTATTCATATCTTACTGTTCACATGCTTGTGTAAGCTAATATCTGCATACAAAGCTGTTTATTTTCATGTGCTTGCCCCTATGTTTATCCTTACAGTGAATGCAAAATTCAGTCTTTGGAAGTTTAATCCTTTGCGTGAACACTTGATGACAGGTTTTAGTTAAGGTTCCTGGATAAGAATAGAGAATTGCTTCTTTAATTACTCTAAGCTGTAAAGGTCAAAAAATTGTTCTGCAGAAAAACATATTCATTTTTTAAAAAAAAGTTGTTGTTGTTAAAACAGACAGAAAGAGCTATTGGTTTTCAGTGCTCAAAGTATGGTTACAATCTAGAAGATATTGATATAATGAAAAGAATTCCCAGGCTGAAAGCCTGCTTGTGAACTTACATTGCACTTTTTGTTTGAATCAGAATGCCCCATATTTAGTGGGACGCCATCCAGTGTTCATTGCACTGGGAGGCAGGACACAAGGGCTGAAGATACACTATGGCCATCAGGTGAACTCTGCTGTAGCATTACCATTAAATTTCTCCAATATCTGTTTTTCGAACACAATCATTATCTGAGCCCTTCTTTCTTCTCCCCATCTCTTCTCTCTCATTTGCTTGGTGGATGGGGAAAGGATTTTGTTGGGTTCTGATTGACTGCACTTCTGTTGCTTCCATGCTTTTCCTGGAAAGTGGACCCTGCAGGTTTATGTACACCTCTTCATAGCACCAGGGGCCTGCTAATGGAAGCAGAAGTAGGCACCATCATCTCCATCTGACACATTGAAAGAGCACTCTTGAATGTTTCTGTTCAGCCGGAGAGTGGAAAGCTGCCTTCACTTTTAAGTCGAAAGATGCGAGTAATTGAAATTTCAGTGTTTCGTTGTTTTTAGACTTTGGGAAAGCATTTGCTAACAGCACAATGTTTTGATTACACTGTTTAGTTTGAGGTTTAAAGCTAAGCTTGAAGTGTATTTGTTAATTTTGGGATTATGTTCTCTTAGACTTGGAAGCTTGATTATATATTTGGAGAATGTTCAATGAGCCATAAGCCCTAATGGCAGTTAGAGGTAAAGATTTACCTTTAAGCTTCATTGTCTTTTGCTGCATATAGTTTTAATTACTATAAAATGTATTAACATCAGTTAAAGCTGGTAAATTAAACCAATGTAAAACAAACAACAAAAAACAAACAGTGCAAGTAAATTTAGAATTAAGTCCTCTTATGTCAAAGAAATACAATATTATCCTGTGCTTTTGCAAAATTAATTACTTTCTTATGCAAATCTGTAGTTTCTCTTGGGTACAGCACAAATCTCTAAAAACTATGACATTGTTTAAATCATTTCAGTCCCCTTAGAACTAAATTTATGACTTTAACTCTAGAAAACCCATGCTGGGAGACTGAGATGAGGGAAAAACACTCTTTTCATTTGCTCCACTGTGATACTGGGGATTAAAACCTTATGAAAATTCAATACATTAATTGCTTGCACATACCAGAATCTAATCAGAACCAGAGCTAACCTGCAGTCTGTTTCTGCTCGGGGTCTCAATTTGGGCCTTTATTTAGGCACTTTCATGGGTTTGCCTTGGGACCTTTTGGTTTGCTGCAGGCGGTGGAGTGCTGCAGGCGGTTTCAGATGTAGGATGGGCTGGGCTAACTCAGGCTCTGCTCTGCTGTAGACTATAAGAGGATGCTAAAGAGACCACAATCCCAACTTGGCTAAATGCTGAAAATCAGGAGGGTGAATGTAGGTGTTATTGCTCACTGCACAGTTCATAGGGAATGTGTAAAAGAATGTGTTAAACCTAAAATAGCTAATGGAATCTGTGGAAGGTTTCAGGCTCAGTGTTAATAGTCTGTTGCTTTATGCCAAGAAATATTTTATGACAAATGGCATTTTTATGAAAGCCCCTGAAGTGAGACCCTGGACTTAAACGTACTAGTTTGGGTGTTTTTCCTAAAGGTACTATAAAAAATTAATTCTCAAAAATGTCTTGTATATTTTCACTCTAATACTCCAAATACTCAAGATTTTAATCTGCCGAATGCCTACCCAATCTTCTAAACCTGGAGACTAATTTACCCAAATTTTTATAGTCAGCTAGCTTCTACAGAACCACATGTATTTCAGCAGTGTATCCCTTGAAAGGAGTAGGTCATTTTCTTTTCATCTCCTTGGTATGTAGATGGACTCAGTAGCTTTCAATATTAATCTTGACATACGGGGGAAATTTCTCAGTATCTTGGTAGTGACATGAAACTTCTGCTGCAATGAACTAGATGGATTCTGCCAATAAAACTTGGGAGATTTATCAGTATACAGATGTTAGGATGGAGCAGATTCAGCGTAATGTTGTGGGTGCGTTTCTTGATTAGTTTGAAGCCTTCCCCCTAAAAAAAAGATGTATCCCTGAATCCATTCCATGTTGAACAAGCTGTCCCTGGTGCTGCACTGAACCGGGCAGTCATATTTGCTTTCCTTTGCAAAGAACCCGAAACAACAGATCTGACCAGGGAGATGCCTCCTAATGCCCATTAAATACCTTTAATACTGCTTTCCTGATTAATGTGTGAAACAGATAAATCTCCCTCAGCATTTACCTCACTATTTGTGAGGGTTAAATACTTGAAAAGGTAACTAATGAAGAAAGATAAGTGGAAGATGTAGAAATTGGGGAGGAAATTCTTCACAATGTTAGAAAGCATCAGAGTAATATTTAACAAAAGAATGAGGTTATAAAATTGTCTACTTTTCCTTTCCTCAGACTTGAACTGAGGTATATCGGTTGATATATTTTGTAGAAAGTGTCCCAATAAAGTTAAATAATAATAATTACTAAAAATAATATCCTACAGTATATTATTTTCTGCATTGAGTATTTTCCATAGTGAATTGTATTGTACTTGTCACCATATTTATTATTTGTAGGAATATTTAAAAAAAAATTGGTACAGCTGACTTTGCCACTTGAGTACAAACACAGCACAAAAGAACAATCAAAAACTGTATAAAAATTGGATTGCTAGCAGGTGCTTCACTCTGTTAAATCATTTCCAGGTGATTTTAAGAGGAAGTTCAAGTGAGTATAAAATTGCTGTTCTCCGCATCAGAAAGATTTCCTTTCTTAAATTGAGTCAGTCCCCAGATTACAATGTAAAGCAATGATCCAAATGTTTTGGGTACATTTGGGGCAGAATTCTGCCCTTGGTTTATATCTGTCCAGCCCTGTTGACTTTACCCATATGTTTATTATCTTAAAAACACTCTGACACCAGTGGCCAGATTCTTACTGCATGGCCTTTCTGTGTTGGAGATGCACAGCTGTAACTTCAAGAGCAGAAAATGCCTGTGGAAGTTGTCTGATTTCTCCATGCACAGATATGTTGTCTGGAGCAGCCCTGCAAGGTCCCAGCTGGAGATGGAGAGATCTGTGCTGGTCCAGGGAATGTAGCTCTGCACAAAGACAGGAAAAATGGCATCAAAATGAGCCCTTCCGGTGTAAAAGTTGACACAAACTGAATTTTGATGCAAAAAGGACCATGGAGACAGTTTTCAACAAAATGTTCCCAGCTTAGAAAACATGGGAGCTAGCTGGCCCTGGACGCCATCACCAGCTGAGTTTATTGTCTTCCTCTCCCCATCTGTTTGCCATTTTTTCATCTTGTACCGATTTGTTCACACAGGGAATGTTCTGGAGAAATAGCAAAGGTCGAGTGATTAATCTCCCTCTCCTTCAGCTGCAGATGCTTACACGTTTGCAGGCATTTCCTTAATTATTCACTTCTGCAGAAGGAAGTCTTGCAAGGGACAGTCAGTGAAGTTGAAGGCTGGCCTACGGTTTGTGTTATCTCCCAAATCTTTGTAGGGTGCAATACCTCCTTTGGGTCTCTTCCTCAGAGGCCTGTGTTCCCATTCGGGCACAGGCATCGGCAGGGTCTGTTGCAAAGAGACTGTGAGGCAGCTCTTGAGCTAGCAGGAATTCCTTGGACTGGAATTAGAGCCAAAAAAAGATGTGTACAGGAAAATTGAAAACACTACTAAGCAATCATGTGGAAGGAAGTGATGTTAACAGCTTTCATTTGGAAAACACTGTGCATTTTCATTTTGGCCCAAGCTCAGAGAAGCAAAAAAATGAAAGAGTAGCTGAAATAAATGCCCTCCTGTCTACCAGGAAGTGGTGGTGGAGGGTGACTTAAGATGGTCTGGTCTGCCATTGCATCTTGTGCATTTGTCTGATTTTATATTTTTAGCAAGACAATGAAATATTCGCACCCTATGTGCCATTGTGCACAGGAACCAGGCAGCTGCTGCTTTGTCACTGCATTTGCCCTGCTGCACAAAGCAGTGAAACCTTGGTGATCAATAAATCTTGTATTGACTGGTAAGAGAAAACATACATTAACTTTGGCATTTCCCTCCAGCTGCAAATAAACAAACACAAAATGCCTGCCTTGTGCTCTAATTTTCATTGGAAGACTGTTGGAGACATTTGCAAGTAGTCCTGTGTAAACACTGGTAGATTCAGGGAGCACTTGGAGGTTATTTCCTGTAATAAATAAAACCAAGATATCTTAGAAAAGAACACTGGAATAATTTTCCCTGAAAGTCATTTCTGTCCCTATTTTAGTTTCATAGGCTTCACTTTGAATATTTTGGGTGGCCTAGACTTAACATTTACATTTTTATTTTGTTTGTATTTGTTTACCTTCTCATTCCGTTCTCTCTTTGATAAGAAGAGACCACTTTTAGAGAGAGCAGAAATCGTGTGAAAGCATCAGAATACTCTCTCAAAGTATTTGAAGTAGCCTTCCCCTTTCTGATGTCCCTCTGCATATGAGCTTTAACATTTGAGACCAAACTGCCATGTGAATGGTAGTACTGATTGCAGATGGATTATAACAGCACTTAGAGCAAGCATTTATTGGCAGTTGGCTTCCAGTTTTATTCAGGAGTTAACCAGGCATTTTCCAAAGGCAGACATGGGAATTTTATTGCAAAATCCACATACATAGGCCAGGTTCTCTGCTTTATTGTTCTGTGTTGTTTTTTTTTTTTTTTTTTTTTTTTTTTTTTTGTTGTTGTTTTTTTGTTTTTTTCTGAAGAGTTTGGATCCAGAGTTTCCAGTGTGGGTGGATTAACCTGATTGCCTGGGAGATCAAATGTTAGATTCTCATCCTCCTAATGCTTGTATATGTTTGAAGGGACCTAGTGGCATTAGAGCACAAGCTCTTAGAAATAAATCAGGATCTTTACCTCCACTGCAAAGTATTGCTTTATACAGACAAATAGGAGGCTGGGAACTGCTAATAATATACGTCCACTTGAAAACTGTGAACCCCAAATCCATGAAAACAGATAAAGAGAACTTGATTTGTCAAACTGTCCTCTAAACAGCCTCCTTGGCTTTATAAACAAAATCTGAATATTGTTTTTTTATCACAGTATAGTTTTGATATCACAGACTTCACAGCTTAGTAATGGTTCCACGGTCTGGCCCCTTAAGAGTGAAGGATTTCAGTGATGATTTAGCATCTCATTTATTTTGTGTATTTCCCAGGAAGGTTTAAAAGCAATTAATTTATACAGCCAGCTTTAATTATTTATGATCTTGGCTTTTTTTTGATCCTGAAGGCCAGACCTTGACAGCAATTGGACGGTAATAAGAGAGCAGATCCAGATGGAATCCATGGTTCTCAAGGGACTTCTCCCAAATACCAAGTATCAGTTTGCCGTCCGAGCAGCAAACGCCTATGGATCCAGCCCCGCCAGTGCACCAAGCGACATCATCCGAACATTCAGTGAGTGGAACCACCTTTTTGTAATTAAAGCTATATAAAAATAAAGTTTATCTCTAAATAAAGTGTATCTGGTGTAGCCTGTGGAGGGCTGCTGGTGGAAAGAGTCGCTCTCCAAGCACAGGCACCCCCAGTCTGACACCTCTCAGTCCTGTCTGGGAAGCTTGTGGCATCCTGTGAAAGTCAAGCCACAAGTAAAGATATGAAAAGCTCCAGGCAGAAGTGGTCTCATGCTGTTTCTCTGCTCTGGAGGTCATTGCCAGATATTTTTGGATTCCTACTTACTGACTTTTGTGCTGGCTTCATGCAGAACTGATAAGTGAATATCACGGGGAGAAATGAAAGAGACAAGTCTATTGTTCATATTTTTTTTCTGTTCTTTGAAACTGAACTGTATATATTACATTTATAATTTAAACAACTGGAAAAGACCAAAGCAAATCTATACTGTTTTCTGAGGAGTAAGGCTCTTAAACTATTAAGCACAATGACGAAAATAATGATATAAAGAAGTAAGCATCCCTTTCTGATCAGAAGCTGCATAGCAAAAAATATTAGGTGAAAATGCATTCAAACACACTTGAATAATCACAACTTGTTAACAATTATATTCACATTTGTGTAGCAGTGTAGGCCATGCCCATCGCTGTAACGGGTAGGTCCTGCACACATCTCCTGATGGCCTTCCTTGCAATGTAATTCTCTGTCAGTGCTAGTGTCTCTGTAGGCTGACTTTGAGGTGCTGTTGCTCCTCATCACCCCCAAAGTCATAGTGGTATGTGAGAATCCCAGTCGAGCTGATACAGAGCACGTTGGGAATCATATAAATCACGTCTCTTGCACAGCGAAAAACCCAATGTCACAAAAAGAGTCGATGCAGGAAGCAGAGCCAAGGCTGGCAGGGTATGGGGACTAACTGAGCTAGAAAATGAGCAGCTGATATTCAGGTAGGACTGTGAGCTCTGCAAGAAAAATTTGCATGCTGCAGAAATGTGGACCACATCCTTAGTGATCCACCAGTTTAATCCGCTAAGGGTTTATTTTTAAATAACCTCCCTATCTTGGAATCCCTTGTTTTCATTGATTCTTATATGGCAGTTTCCATTCTTTTTTCCCCTCTGTCATAAATTCAAGCCCTTGACTAGTTTGCCTGAAGTTTGTTATGGCTGATGAACTCGTAAGTTTAACTTCTGAAGCAAATGTTTGTGAAAACCAGGAAGGTGCAGCATGCTCTGGAGTTCCTTGGCCCCTGGATCCCCAAGGATCAGCCCCCCCTGCCTCAGGCATGCTTGTGTGCTCCTTGGTATCCTGTTTATCTTTGGATGTGAGTGGCTGCATTCTTTGGTCAGAAAAGATGAAGTATTTAGCTCTGCTAAAAAGGGTGGAGTAGTCTTCATGCTGCGCTTATTACTGTGGTACTCTAGGAAAGGCACTTTGCCTTTGGAAACTGCTTGTTCTGCAGACACCTGTCAGGATGGCTCTAAAACATGGATTTTTGTTAGTAGAGCTTGGAATCAAATTCACACCCAGTGTATATAAAGAGAGGTTCCTAGGGCCATGAGCTTGACTCTCTGTGCCTGGATCAGATCTGAAAAGTGAACGTATTATGCACGTTGCACTGCTCTCTGAATAGACTCAAAAACTCTGTGCCGGTCCATAGTAGGCATGTGGGTGCCGCTGTGGCTGAGAGGCACTCCCTGCACCAAAGGGCTGGCAGTGCTTGGGGGAGACCCTCATGAGCAGGCAGAACTCCCGCAGCGTGGGGCCATGGCATGTCTGTGATGTGCTCCAGCCCTGCACCAGGTCACTTCTAGTTAGGGCTACTTTGGCCAACTCTGGGTCCTTTGGCAAATGCAAATGCGTTTCCTTTTCCAGTCTGCTCTTAGTTTCCGGGGTGGATTTTGCAAATAGGCTTAAAAACTGCATATAGCCACTATCCATGAAAGCTTGTGTTATCTTGTGGATACGTGTCTTCATAACAACCAGCTTTTTGCAGAGCAAGCAGTGGTGTTTAAAGGCAGCAAAGGATGCGTGCCTTTAGAAATAAATTCTGTGGCTTTCTGAAAGCAGGCGTATAACTGAGTATAGCAGCTCTCACTTGGCTTTAGTGGTGATGTCTGTGTAAGAAAGTAGTTTGATGTTAACCAGATACACAAGTACATTGTGCATTAGTAGAAAAGCTAAACTTGTGTTATGAAAAAATTTCTTGATTAAAGCCATGCATAACCTGAACATTTATTTTTTCCCCAAAACCCTCAAAAAACCTGAAGAGTGATTTAAACCATTGACAAGTTTAATGTAACAAAAAAAAGCATGCTAAGCTTAAGGGCAACCAAGTAAAACTTACTCCTGATTCACATTATGTACCTGCAGGTACCTTCCCCCTTCTAGTAGCCAGAAAACCAATGGTTACCTTCTTTGGCCCAGTTACTCATTCACTTCAGTTGCTCAGGTGTAGACATTCGGTCGATTTGAGGTCCCCTAGGTCCTGTGGTTTTCAGCTGTCCCTGCAGGAGGACACGTGCCTCCCATGTGTCTCCCAGACACCTGACAGTCCTCTGGGGATGTCTCAGGTACCGTAATGCATCTCAGATGGCACCAGATGCCTGAATCTCTCAAAGTGCCAGCAGATACCTCTTACTAACCTATGGTTGCTGGAAGGGTGTCAGACAGTTGGCGTGTCTGAAAATAATGCACCTTTGCTCTTCAGTGTGCGCATCGTAGGAGTTATTACCTTCATTACTGAAATGGTACCTCCTCCCATGTAAACAGTGAAACATGCCACAGATATTTGATGCTATTTTCTGAGTGCCTGTATATTCCTCAGAAATACCTGAAATATCTTAGGAAGCTGGCAGAAGTCCATATAGCATCTGGCTTCTTTGTATTACACTTAGTCCACATAGTGCTGGCACTAAGGTCCTTAGTGTGTTTGGATTTTAAAAATTTGTAGCTTTATGCTTGTATATCCTGTATTTTTATGCTTGTTTTGAAATAATTAGTGCTTTTCTGATGCTTATTTTAACTGAAGAAGAAATTCCCAACATTACCTCAAATGCAGTGGACCTTCAGGGTTCATGTTGCATTGCGTAGAGCCTGTTGCACCTCTTCTAGCCAGGCTGAGACAGAGATGAGTCCTGTGGACACTGAGTCTGTACTACTTGGGGATGTTTTCTGCTGGAGTTTATCTGATTCTCACATGTAATTCACTCATTTTGGTTTTAAAAGGTGACTGGCTTTGCAGTACTCTTGATTGCATTGTTTCAAGTCAGCATAGGAAACCATTGGCTTTGCTAAAATGTTCCTCTGAAGGGTTGCTGATGGTGTCACCTAATGCGACAGACCTCCCAAGGTCTGTGCAAGTAGAACATGTGGCCTTGATTATAAGCAGTTACCCCCTTACCTAGTAAAAAATGCATGCTTGGTTTATGTTACATTGCTCCATTTTCAGGGAGGAAAGAGAGGGCAAGTTTCCCCAAGGGTTTTCATTTATTTGTGAGTTATTTTAATTTTTTTTCTACAGGGAAATTATGTAATAAATCAATTTTTGTTGCCCTTCTTAATTACAGATGCAGGTTACAGGTATTTCACTTATATGGTTGTCTTTTTGCTATACCAAACCTTTCAATGGGTCATGGACAATTTAGTTGAAAAAAAGATTTCACATACCAAGTTTAGTAACAACAAAATAAACTGTCCTAAAGAATCAAACAAACAAAGTGTCATCACCTGCATCGCTTAAATACCCTTCATCTCCTGGGGAAACAGATGGGGTTTGCACTGTGCCTGGAAGGTCACCAGCCTTGGGCTTTGCCAGACCAACAGAGGAAGTCTCTTCTGTTAAAAATACCCTCCTGCTTGTCTCCACAGCAAATGTGACAGAAGTGGCTGCTTAATCTGGGTACATCCCTTCCTCTGGTCCTGGCCGTCACCACCAAGCTCATACTGAGCAAGGCATTGGCACAGGTGCTTAAATATTCTGCACGGTGCTTGAATGTGTCTGCTGAGGCTCAGGCATGGGAAAAGGGCAGTCCTTTGGGCCCAAACCTTGATGTAAATATGTTGATGTGTCTTGGAGATAGCAAATGGAGGTTTTCCACAGAACTGTTTCCCACAGATCTCCAAAGGCTTTACAAGGGCAGTGTTCGTATTTATACAGACAGGGACAAAAAGGAAGAGACAGGCCAAGAGATAAGCAGTGCCTCGCTGTGAGTCGCTGTCAAGAATAAAACTCAGGTTAAAATGCCCCTGATGGATTTTGGATTTAGATCTGTGAGGGGTTCTGCATGAAGGTGATCAGTCTGTGAACACTTCCATTCAATCTGCCTGCATTGCGGTGCCTGATGGTCTACCTCCTATGCTCTCCTACACTCTCCTGCGTCTCCTGATCAGTATGCTGGTGGCCACCTAATCAGCAAAGCAAAAGTTTGTGTGGCTTTCTTTTTGTTTTGAGAAAGATTTATTTGGTATAACTTAATCCCTGATTAGTTGGAAAGAAGCTGTCTAAAGTTCATGACCCCCCACAGGTTTTCCAATTAATTATAAAACAGGATTATAGGACCTGGTAAAGGGTCTTAAACAGGCTTCATCTCCTTGTACACTGAAACACTGATTTAATGAAATATAGTACGCTTATAATCTCTGTGGTCATTGTTTTGGTATTTGCAGAGTACCACTTTGCTTAATTGTCCCTGATTTGCCACCCGTTACGAGATGAGCTCTCCATCAAAGCTACACAGTGCTTTTAAGAGATGGGTTCACGTCGGGGTTTCTCTACGGAAAGTCGTGTTAGCTTCTCTGCTTTCTGTTATTTTGCAGTTTTGTTGCATGACGTCACATGTGAGTATTGTGTCACATCCAGTAAGCAAACACCAAATGTAAGGCAGAGCAAGGCAGCTGAGAAGCCAGTGGGCTGTTAGATGGTCTCATCGTTTGTGTGTGTACTCACCTGTATAAATTCAGGCATAGTTAGAAGAGAGTACATCTCCGTGTCTTCGTTGCATTGTGTATTGCTTCATTCGTGCCATTCTTACTGAACCTAAATCCCATTAAGCCACTAGAAAGTTCGCTTGAGAAGAGAAAAAACGTGGCAGAATTTGAACTATAACAGATTTTTATTTTGTATCTTATTACCTCTAAAAAAGAAAATTGAGTTTGTGTATCACAGCTTGTTTGAATACAGATTAGCTTGTTTTCCCTGACATATGATTGATCAGTAATGTGTGATTTTTTTCCTTTCTTTTTCCCAACTTAGCTTTATTGCTTCTGTTACTCTTAGGTAAATTGCAGTTTCATCCATTAGAAGAACTGAATTCGTTCTGAAATAGTTTCAGATACACAGTATAAAGGCAATAAGTAATATTACAGACCTGACTTAAAAGCAAGTGTATTCCTGTGAGCTGAAAATTGCTGCATCTGCTGGGAGCTGAGTTAGTGCTGGGCTCTGCTTTATTCATATAATTTCAATTAAACTGCGAATCACATTTATAATGTTTATGTTTGGGGTTTTGCATATTCTTTTGTAGAAATGCATGTCTTATAAAATCACTTTTGCCAAAGAAGGAGATTCTGATGCAGTGATGGATGGAAGAGAAGTGGCCAACCTTCCTACCTTCCTACCTGGAGTAAAATTATCCTGTGGTGGTGATTAACCTGAGTGACTATTCAAGTGAATACTAGGAGTAAGAGGTTTTGCCCACATTTTGATAATACCTATTGTTTTCCATAATGAATGCAGGATTGGGACCGGTTCATAAATGCAGTCTGTTTCTCCAGTAGTAATCCTTTGCCTGTGCATTCACAGTCACTATCAGAAATAATCTGGATGCAGTTTGTCCAGTTGGCCTCATCTCATTACCAATCATAAAGCTATGAGTTCTCTACTTACCTCAGTTGCTAGAACTCTTATGCTGAATACTGGTTTAATATACAGTTAAATTGTATTATTTACAGATGATTAGGTATACATGTTAGAGTGGAAAGATTTACATATATTCTCTCCCAGCCTGGCATGTTGTTTTGGTTGCAAATGTGTATGCCTCATTACCTCTACTCATTTGCCTCTGATTTTTCTGTATGCTGATGTAACATATAGAGCTCATTGATAAGTAACTCCCACAGAGTGTATGGTGGGCGGCCAGTTAGCCAGCCAGGGCACACATTCGTATCTGGTGCACATATGCTTGATTTCATAACTGTCTGCCAGGATTTCTGGGTTACAGTCATGGCAAGGGAAGAGAGAATACAGTAAGATTTAGACAAGTGCTCTCCTGCCTGAATCGGGTCAGTGAGATATTTTTCCTTTATTCTCCACCAAGGTGGGAGATGACTGACCCCAGTTAAACTGGCTCAAACGGCCTGATAGCACTGTGCCTACACTGCTCCCTCTGAAAGTCTGCTAAGCCTCGTTAGCTTTCGCTGGCTCCATCGGGTTGTTCAGTGGTGGTAGTGAAGCTCTCACTACCATCAAGTGGCATTTTCTGGCTTGTCAGGTCTCCTTTCCACAGACAGCCACTGCCCAGACAGACTTTGCATCTCTACATGTTGCAATGTAAAGGACCTGCTAACTTATGGGAAAATATGGGCAGCTTGTGGCTGCTAAAATAAGCACACATGGTCAGCCTGTACAGAGGCTTTGTAAAGCAAGGACTACCTATGCTGTTTTTAAGTAACCGCAAAATATTTTATGGAAAAGGCAAATGTACGAAGTCTGTTGTTTTAATGGTTATCAAACGTTTGTCTATTCTTAACCTTGCTGAAATGACAAGTAATGATAGTGATACAGTTACCTGTATTATCATGACTTCTGGTAAATTTTAATAGCTAAAAAGCATAAACCATTGTTTAAGCAGAATTTGTTATGTAAAGTGCAGAAAAGCACAGATACTTTCTATGAGGACCCTCTTATTGTTTAAACTGGCCATTCCCAGCCTGGAGTCCTTCACAGTGCTATTCAGCGCTCCAGGGAGAGGCAGAAACAGATTAAGCACATGAAAAACACATGATGTTTGTGCGTGTTTCTTTTTTCGAGGTACTAAATTATGTTTTAAAAAATAGCCTAATACACTTAGGATGCTAATTTCAGGAGCATTGGAGCCAGTGGATGCAGATAAAGTCCAAAGCAGAGTGTGTCAGAAAAGCCCTACCTAGATGCATCTCTTATGCTGTTCCGGTTATTTGGTTGCCAGTAGGGCAGATACAGGACTGTGTATTTATAAAAGGAAAAAGTTTGATCTAAAAACAATACAGTTATTAAAATGTTGTCCACGCCAAAAAAGTTCAGAGCCTTTCTCCTGGAAGAATGACGGATAAAAGTCTGTTTGCAGTGGAAGAACTGAGCTTTGCCTGCTTTGTTTGGGAATCACAGTAAGTGACTAAATGAAGGTCTTCACTTTATTTCAAGTTGCATGTTTATCACTTGGACAGTGTCTCCCATCTTCAGGCTGACACTTGCATTGTCTGTACAGCATGAACATTAACGCCACTTCAGATTTCAGTGTGGTGAATCAGGGGGTGGTAAGATCTGAGTTGCTGTGTGTAAAGAGAAAAAAAATATATGAAGTGAATATGCCAATTGTGTCTTTTTAGGCTCTGAGGAGTTAGGAAGTGGAAGCTATGGGCATCGTTATATCACAGAGACAGTGACTGGTGATGATGATGGATTTGATATTGATGACTCAGACTATGACATTTACATAGAAGAGGTAAATTTCAGGATTCCGCTTTGGCATTTCTGTTTTCTTTATAGTCTCAATACTTTCAAGTGTCTGATCTTGACAGGAAGTATAATATCTCATATTAT